ATGAATGTTTATTTCATAATTTTCTGTAACAAAAAATATACTCACTATGTTTTTATATTTTAGTCATGGGGAAGCTAAGGAATGTACAAAAAATATAATAAGTGTTTGTAAATTTTTTTCTATTGATAATTCACCAGCTCATTGCCATCAAAAAGCAAAAGCTTGCATTGGTCCTACTAATGAAAAAATCAAAAATTATGTAATGAAAAGTCCATCTGGATTTGGTGGTTCCAAAAGTATTATCAAAGCTGCTCAAACTTTGCTTCCAAATAAATTTTTTGAAGGTAATCCATTTTCTCATACAAGATTAACAGAAGAAGAAAATTTACAACTCCAACAAGATTTATGTATGAATATGGTTGCTTGCCAAAACTCCTCTGGAAATCAATCGGTGGAGTTTCGGCAGGTAACACACTAATTGTTTGTTAGAGTTTCAGCAGAGTTTCGCATTTAGGGATTTTGACAATTAGCAGAGTTTTAGCAGGTTACACACTAATTGTTTATTAGAATTTCGGCAGAGTTTTGGCAGTCATTAAGAGGTTTCAGCAAGCAACCTTATGTATGAATGCTAAGTGATTATTGGAAGGATATTTTAAATGTTAGAAGTACAAGTTGTTTTAAATTTACACCTGATGAATCTGTAGATGACTCAAATAATTTAGTTCATTCAATGGAAATTCAATACATTTTGAACAATGAACCTTCAACTGATACATATTTTGTACTTGAAAAAGAACCTGAAGAAGATATTTTTACTAATGGCTCTTCAATTGTAGCCAAAATTTTGAATATAAGAAAATCTCATGAAGCCTATTCACATTCAAAACATTCGCACAAAGTTTCAAATATAATGAGATTAGATAATGCACATGAAAATATTAATACTAATACTGCAAATCAATTAATCACACAAATTACAAGTAATGATTCTGGACAAACTGTTAGAAGAAGAGTGACTAGGTGACAAGGCAGAAAAAATATTGAAAGTGTAGGCTTATATGATGGAGATGGAGCATATCAATCAATAAGATCTATTTTAAATATTTTAATATCACCATTAAAATGTTCATCAACATTTAGTTTTTTTAATAATATATTGAAAATCAAATTAAGTGGTGATGGACATTTGGTCGGAAAGAAACAAAATCAAGTGATTTTAACATTTTGCTTATTAAATGAAGGTGAAAATGTTTTAAAACCAGATCATCAACATAGGTAAATATATTTTTATAATAACTTTTTAAAAAAAAAATTTTTAATAAAAATTAACATATAATTAGCATATGTATTTATATTGGAAAAGAAAATAAAAATTCTTTACAACTTGCTTGGAGTTATTTTACTGATGAAATAAAAGATATAAAATCAAATGGATATATTGATCCAGATAATTTTCATTGGGATGTTGAGTTTTTTATTTCAGCTGATCAGAAATTTCTTCAATTAGTTCATGGAATCAAAGCTCCCACCAGTGAATATTTTTGTCTTTATTGTGATTGTTCAAAGTTTCAAAGAGCAAATATGAATATTCAATGGAGTAACACTTATAATACAAAAAAACAAAGTAAATATTTAAGTTTATATTATTTTTATTTAAATTATAAAATTATATTAACAATAATTTTTAAATAGGTTTTAATTATGATTGTTTATTGCCTATGATTGATAATAAAAACTGGATACCAGATGAGTTGCACTTAATGCTAGAATCAGTGATATATTATTAGAATGTTTATTTTCAGACCTTTGTAGAAATTTAAAAAAATTTGAAAATGAAATGGCTAATAGAATAATTGAAGAAACCAGAAGAATTGGAATAACCAAATTTGAATTTTATGATTTAAAAAGTTCTAAATGCAACTGGACAACCTTAAATGGATCAGATAAATTGAAATTTTTAGAATTTTTTCTTGTTTCTAAATTTTATAATAATGAAAAGGGGATTAACATAGAAAAAATGTGGAGAGAATTTGTATGTTTGTATAAATTAATTAGAAAAACTGCATTGAGTGATATTGAAATAGATAATTTTCAAAAAGATGTTAAACAATGGATTAAAACATTTACTAATATATATCGTAGTGAGGATGTTACTCCTTATATGCATGTGTTTGCCATGCATATACTACAATTTTTAAAAGAATTAAAAAATCAAGCATTATCATTGCATTTGTTTTCTTCTTCAAGTGTAGAAAAAAAGAATCATCATCATGTGAATATAATATTTCCTTATTTTTTTTTAAAAAAAAAAAAGATATTATATTAATTAATAAATTTTTTTTTTAGGTTCGTTTGTTTTTTGGAATTACTTGTATGGGTGGTGGTGAAAAAAAACAATCAGCTGTATATAAAATATTAAATTTTGAGAATAGACAATTATATTATCTAAAAAATAATACACCTTCATTATTCAAAAAAAAATTATTATTCATATTAATCCAATTGATTCAATTAACTAAATTTTATTTAGAATTCACATTAAACTCAACCTTACAAAATCCACATTTCATATTATTTAAAAAAATTTCTCTCCAAAGAAATTTGATTTCTGGTTTTACTACTCCATCATCCTCCATCACAACAAAAGAAATTGTACCAGTTGCATTGTTTTTTTTCTCCCACCATTTATAATTATTTAATATTATACTTAAATTATTCCTTCCTTCAATATTTTCAAATTTACAAATATAGTATCTTTTAATAGGATAATAAAAAAAATTTTCTTGAAAAAAAAAGCATTGCAAAAACATTTTCAGGAAAAGGTTCCAAAATGAATTTCTTAACACCAACATGATGTCTATTGAATCCCAGTTTTTTTTTGAATGTTGATTATAATACATTGTTATTAGATGATGATAAAACTGAAAAATGTGGAATTATTTTGTTGAATTTATGATATTTGTTTTCATGATTCCTTAATGTAATTTTTGATTTCAACCATTTACCACATAATATGCAGTTATATTTATTACTTATTTGTTCTAATACCACTGGTGTTGGTTGATAAGGTGGTGTTGATGTTGATTCAGGAGATGATGACAAAGATGTTATTGATTGAGACAATAATATTGATGATGTTGATGTTGATGATGTTGACGAAGATATTATTGATTGAGACAATAATATTGATGATGTTGAAGGATGCAGCACAATTGCTCTAAATTTCATTCTATTAATTTTAATTGTTAACGTGTATATGAAAAAATGTATTAAGCCCTTTAACATAGATTAATAATGACCAACGAGTTCCACCTCTTGGTTGATTTACATTTAAATTGTTATTTATTATCATAAAAAATATTTCTGATGAAAATACTTGATTTGGGATAACATTTTTAAAATATTTTGTATCTTTAAAATATAATTATATCTAAAATAAATAATGATCATCAAAATGTAACGCACACATGTCATTAATATTAATACTTTTTTCTTTTGCCGATCGGACAAATTGGCCCATATGACTAATTAAAGGACATTTCTAAAATCATTATTGTTAATTAACTGCTTATTTTTATTGATCTTTTTTGTGTTTTAGAAAATAGACATAATAAATTATGGAATTAATACTACATGTGGAATTGAAAACTCCCGAGTTTGTAAATCCAAATCCTTTAATGAATTCATACTAAATTTATTATAAATGCCAGAAGTGTAAGAGACTTCAGACAAGTAAACTAAATCAAATACTCCAATAAAAATCAAATAATTTTAAATTTAACAATTAATTTTAATTTCCTGAAACAACTATTTTTTAATAACAAAAATCAAAATGAACCAAGGACAAAATGCTAATTCTTGATTCCGACGATGGATATTATATTGCTAGTATTACAAGAAGATGAGGTGGGTTTTATGATAATGAGTTATCTGAAATTGTTATGTAGATTTCCACACAAGAAGAGAAAGTTAATGTTTTGTTAATTATTCATTTTTTTTATTTATTTATTTATAATTTAATTTGGTTACACGATCTTATGTAGTAATTTATATTAAAAAGTCAAAAATTGTAGCCTAAATTGGCATCATTATTCTAAGTAAACTTGTTAATTAGAACATATATGATTACATATCTTACGGTTTTGGGCCTGGTTTTAAATGATGAAATTTTTTACTAATCACAACTTTTCAAAAATCCAAAAATTAATTTTTTTAAAAAAATACATTTATTTTGGTACCAGTAAAACTTCAACAAAAGAAATTAATTTATTAAAAATGAATATTTATACATAAATTTATGGCCTTTTCCATCTAAAGTCAAATAAAAAAAATGGAAGTCAGTTAGTGATTTTTTTGTTTATTAGGGGTCTACATTTTTTTAAAAATTGCGGCCAAATCTGGCCGCAATTTCTGTAGCATAGTGGACATTTGATTTCATTGGCTAATTTTTGTGATGATCTCCCTTCGAAATATCACACAAAAATCGAATCT